TTCAATCCTTGCTTTTATCTCACAGACAGATAATTTGGACTCAGCGACAAATCAGCTATCATCGATCCTGGCCACAACCCAAAGTAACCTAGACAGGCTGAATGATACACAGATCAAAAGTACACAAGAGGTACCAGTTAAGGTTAAATTCATCGCCGTTTTTACAGAAGTAGTTTTACAAGCAACCTTGAACCATCTGTATAGATACAAATTAACTTGACATGCCTAATAATTGACTGCCACGGTCGTTGACTGGAAGTATTAAAGAGAATTTCTTTGGCTCTGATTTCTTCTTCTCTTGGACATACATTCACCACCGCTGGTTGTGGGAAGGATTGGTCAAAAAGTTTTAGAACATCCCCCAATCTTTGGGCCAATCGAGGTTTTTCTAACAATAGTTTTCGGGATTTTTCATTCAAAGGAATTCTAAGATAATAGCATTTGAGGTTTTATGACACAATTTGTCACGGTACTGTCATTATTTTCGAAAGAAGCATTGCTGATATTTGGATTATTTTTTAAATTTAAATTCGCAAGTATGTATCGAAGAAGTAAACGACCGCAGTACTGAGCGATTGTTTACAAATTCTCCCAATATATTTTCTCCTTGGGAAGTACGGGACCTATCGATCAGTAATGATAAAACTGCTATGACTAAAATTACTTAGAGAATGTTCTCTTTAGTTTCAAGGTCACCTGTTGTCCATGGAAGCACGTTTGAACTCTACCGATGAAGATCTAAAATCTTCCACTGGCAACTTACAAAACAAAATTGAAGAGCTTAATACAAGTTTTGCAGGCCAGGTATGCAACTTAGAAAGATATGTACAGAGCAAAAATATCAGAGAGTCGCTTAACTTATGTTTACTGATAAACTTGATAAATATATAGGACCTCAATAGCGTGGACGTAAAATAGTGCTATGTACCAAGGAAAGATAATATTTTTGTTATTTTTTTTGATTCGCTGACGCTTCTAGCACGAGATTTTGATGACCTTTACATAATAAGAGCAAACAGATAGATTTGAGAGCAACAAAACACAGTCTTAGGTGTCAAACGATTTGTGTGCTATTTATTGTTAAGATAGCAGCCAAAATACATCATAAGAAAACTTTTCAAATTTCAATATAGGAAGACAGCATGAAGCTTAACAGTACATAAATGGAAAAATGGGACTTTAAAATTCTTCTTTGTCTTTTTATACTTTAACAGGCGTAAGAAGTGTGTGTTGAATGCCTTTTAGCACCCCAGACATTTAATGATCTGCAGAATTTCTTTCAGGTGCAAGATTTTTCAATACTTATCATGTTTGGATTTATTATTATCATTAGGTCAATAGCCTTAGCCAATCCATCACTGCAGTCCATTCGCAGTCTAACGAAACAAAGGAAAGCTTTAACAATTTCAAGATGCACACTGAAAATTCTGTTACATTGGTAAGTTTGCAGATGAGCCGTTTTACTTTTATAATCTGTTTGAGTGCATTTTGTTGACGTTTGAGATGATAGCGGATAGTGATTTTGAAAATTCTATTATGAAATTGACAAGAAGTATGATTACAAGGAAATCATCGAGGGGATCGGGAAAAGCACTCGTGATAGAAATGGTGGCAGCTGCTTGTATGGTGGCAAAATATATTGATTTTCAGTTATCAATCAGACAAGACAGCGAAGATAACATGAGCTGACTAACGAAAAAAAAGGGTTCCAAAGTTGTCACGGGTTTCTCATACTTCCTTGTTAACTTCATTTCAAGGAAATGAAAGAAAGGCTGTGGCGAAGGATTCAACAACACATTTTGTGATCTGAACAAGTCTTTTTATAATTGGGTGATCTTTCCAAAGAACCAATTTCAATTTCAGAATGCCAAGGCTATTCCTAAAATCGATTCTCTATGTAAAAAAGCATTAAGAGGCTTCAGATGATAGCAAAGCGTCGTTCAGAAACCTAAAGCATGGCTGTATGTGCAATCAAAACTAAGTAAATTAAATCATGAATTTTACATGGCATGGAAGTTATTAAAATGTTCACCTAAATAAATGGACGTCAAAAGTCTTAGCTTGAAAATATTTCGCATCAGAATGGTGGCAAAAAAAAACCTGAATTGCTGTAAAAATGTAAATCGCCCTTTAACTCTGATCATGCTAAATTTTGTTTTTACCGCAGGTGAATGACGGGCTCAGTAACTTGGAGAAAACGGTGAACTCAACGAAGGACAAATTAACTTCCCGAATTGAAAGTACAGACCTAAGGGTGAGAAAAAATGATATCTTTTGCAATTTGTAAATATAGAGAAATCATTATTTTTCATAAGCTGACCTTTAGTCACTTACACTACCGTTGGTGAAAAATATTAATTCTTATGAAAACGGTTTTTGAGTGGTCGTCGAAAGTAATTCAAAATCCTTTGAGTTTCGTGTAACCTTTAGGTCGTTTCGAGTACTTGATCGAACTATAATGACACAACTAAAACGAAGCACGACTTGGTCAGTTCTTCATGTTAGAGACTAACCCTAAGGAAAGGTAAATATCGTTTAGATTTTAGTCCTAGTTCATGAATCGTACATACAGCAATCAACCACCGTAGGCTATATTTGTTGAATCGGAACATGTACGACAACTGAATCAAAGTCCAGACCAAACTCGTATGATACCGTGCACTTAAAGCGTACTTAAAAACGCCCTAAAATCCCACACCGTAGCATTGCAATTTGGAGGGTTGCATTCTCATTGCACTTGTAATCGATCTGAATAGTTATGTTCAACAGCTCAACAGCACCACCGAAAGACTTGATCAAGAAGACGTCAGCATAATATCCCTTGTTAATGACATCAACACAACATTGTCTTTGAAGGTACTAGAAGTTACCAAAATATATATATTTTTTTACCTTTTTTTTTTATTTTCTAATTTTTTTATTTAATTATTAATTTTTTTTGGTGTTTTGTTTTCTTTTTTTTTCTTTTCTGGCTTATGTGTTTATTTTAGCATGTTTGTTAAATTATGGAATTAAATTCTTATGTTTCTTCTAGGTAGAGAATGTGAGTAAGCTCCGGGGCCCCGTTGGACCACGCGGTTTTAACGGCTCTCAAGGATTGGTTGGACCAGCCGGACCTCAGGGAGTCAATGGAACACAGGGTCCCCAGGGGGTGATAGGTCCACAAGGTTTTAACGGATCACAAGGGTCACCGGGATCAGATGGACTCCAAGGAGCCATAGGACCCCCAGGACCCCCTGGAGCAGGAGACTTTTCTCAATGTGAGTTCATGACCAGCACGGACATAGGATCCCAGACAGCTTTCCAAGGCAACACTCTTCCAGCTGCAACCAAAGTCATCCTAACTGAACCAACTGTAAGTAACATGAAATACGAGACCTTAGAAACTCGACAGCGTGAAAAAAAAATAGATAAAAAATCTCATTACGCAAACTCAAAAGCGTGATAATGAATTTAATTCGATGATAAAATCCAATATTACTGAAAAAAAAAAACAGGAAGAGCTACAGATACGCACTGTTTGGGTTCAGAAAATTGCGGTTAGACAGATTTGCTGATATATGCAAAATTTCAATCCTTTTGCTAGCAAAAACTGAATTATATCAAACAATAGTGCTTTTTGAACAAGAAAACGTCACATTTATAGATGAAGGCTTGCCTATCCGAACAGTTCTGTTCCACGCAGCCATTCCTCAAATGAAAAAGAAGAGAAGTGTGCTGTACGAAGTACGCTCAACAGCATACCAGCATGACATCATTTAGATATGATTTTTGATCTCCCTTTTCCAACCATTATACAGGATAAAAGAATAGTTGGTGTCACATGCTCAACAGACTTCGCCCAATTGTATATCTTGGAAGCTGAGATTGCTCCATCTACAAACAAGCAAGTGTACCGCTGTGAGTGCTATGGAAACCAGGGAAGTGTAGGGACAATCAAAAGTATTCAATGCCTTATGCATTATTGGTTGTGTCCCTTAACAACATAAAAGTGACACGCCATCTATTGCCATGTGTGAAGAAGAAAATGCATTGAACTTCAAGATGGGATCAAGCGATACGAACTAATAAGCAAAAAAACTCAAAATGTCAGTACTTAATGTAACTGATTTTCTTAGTCATTTTTTGAAATTAAAGATGCAGTTGCGTTTTCACCTGCTGTTCTCCTCTCTTAGAAAGAGAAACGTTTTATAAATATAATCATACAGTGAGAGCATTCAAACGAATTTACTTTCCCAGACTTGATTTTAGCTGTGCATTTTTTTAAATCCCTCTTGTTACAATATACCGAATTAGTCTCGCCACTCAGTCCGACAACCAGTCATAAAATGTGCGCTATGTTTCTGTTGTTTGAAAACTTATGAAAACGTTGAGTACAAAATGATCTGTTGTATAGCTCAAGAATTGATATACAGTGATGAATACACGCCTTTAAATGGTGATCCGGTCTCTCCATAATGATAAATTAAAAAGTGGTGGAGATGAAAAAATGTCAGAGAGGCGAATAATTTTCCTTAAAACATCAAAACCATACTCTCATTCCCAAAGTCTAAACATCGATTCTTCGCACTGTCCTGCAAACTTTGTTATTATCTTACTGTGTAATTATAGAAACTTAGCGAACAATCTAACAATATCCACGACATTCGATCGTTGAATATTCTTCTTTCTGTTTATAGCATTTCAATAAAATATTTACAAGGCTGTTTTCGAATTTTAATTTTTTGGTCACTCTTGGGAGTAACATGGGATGGGGTCAAAGGCTTTATTGGTTGTGATGATGAGAACCACTCAGATCAGTATGAGTATAAGAGGTTTTGCACCTATTGTTTTCTCAGTTGAACCGATCCAGCTGTTGCTTGACTAAATATAATTCACATCGCAGTTTGTAGCTTTTACTTTTGTATTCGTCTGGTAGCTAAATAAAGAAATGAACAAGTATACTTGGGTATTAAGGCTTTTAGACTGCTCATTTTCTGTTAAATAGCTTAGAAGTATTTTTTGTGCGAGACGAAAAATTTCCAGCCCTGGAATTCAGCTGTGTGTACCGGTCATCGATAATCAGGAAAGCTAAATGTTCCAATTATTTTAACAGAGTAAGGACCGTACAGGAGCCGCTCTTTTGGTTAATTAAAGTTTGTAAGGCCTGTCGGATAACAGCTACCTATTTCGATATTGGCCTACGATGAACTTTTTGCTGTCACATTTTAAATCATAAGCTTCCTTTTCTCATTTCTGCGTTTGACCTTAATGTGTTTGATAAGCAACTGCCGCCGTAAAAAATGTTTATGAGTGCATTAAGTTAACAAGTTAATCCACAAAATCTTATAAAAACGAGCCAAATCAATACTTTTGACGTGCATTTATGGAGGCGCACAGGTGTTAGTGAGCTTAACTGGGATCAACACGAAATGGCATGCAAAGCATCACAAAGCAATTTTTTCTTATTAATGAGATTCCAAACAAATAAAGTACGCATGGGGTCATAAACAACGTAACGTTTAAGATTAATGAAACATTGTTTCGGGTGCATCTATCGACCTAAAATGCATGTTCAGCAAAAAAAGGAATAGTTCTGAAGGAAAACCACATCAGCCGACATTGTGACTGAAACTTGAAACAAAAACAGGTTTGCGATGGATGTTCATGAAGGACAGATGTTTGTTAACCCGACTTTCGACGATTGGATTTACGAAAACAGCGTTCCACCATCGCCTTCGAATTTTTCGCGTCCATTGACGTACCGCGCGGAAGTCACTGCTCCTACTGAAACGAGGAATTCTCGCCAGGCACAATATGAGAGTAAAGCACAAGGAAAGAGGAAACCTCCTGTGCGATCAAACCGGTCACAGTTGACCCTCTTGACTCTTGTGTGCTTGGTGTCTTTCGTAATATTTGTGATGATACTTATGATATTCGTTGGAGGAGTATTAAAGGGTTGTAGCTGTCCTGTAAACGAAGGTTAGCACATTATTTTCTTCTTAAAAGCCGTATAAGCTGCATGTCTCATTCCTGTGATTGTCGAAATTTCAGGTTTAAGTGTTTTCTGTATTTGAAGCATTCTTCATCTGGTTTGGGGTTAAGCTAAATAGTATTATAGAATTTTTTTTTTTAATCAAAAAAATGTATTTGCGTAAAAACTAATAATTAGAGACGGGCTACTAAAACATATGGTCTCGTTTGAACGTTCATTTGTACAGTCATTTTTTTTTTTTTAATAATGATAGCTTGCATTTACATTCATATTTCAGTCAGTTTTCGTGATCTGTCTTAAAGTCTCGCCAATGCATGCGTAGAAATTTTTGCCCGTTTCTCTTTATACAGAAAATCGTTAAGATTCAGAGAGCGTTCAGTTAGACTCCAGCGGGGATGAATTCTTCTTAAACAATTTCGAAAGCAGACATACACGGTAGCAGTCACATTATGCATTTTAAACTTCAGGGTCTAATTGTTCAAAGAGAGGATAACGCTATCCGATGGATAAATCGCTATCCAGTGGATAAAAGTTCACAAAACGTACGATGCTGTCTACAAGAAAGAGATTAATTCAATGGATAGCGTTATCCACTCTTCAAATTACCGGGGCCAGTGCTTGAGTTTAGTCTATGCACAAGCAGAAACGATTTGCATCTTGTACCAAAAATTTGTGACCATTTTTTTTAAGGTTTTATCTCTCTAGTCAAATGATGTAGTTTAAACTTTGATCCTACTACTCTAAGGTCGCGAGTGTCTATGCTCTAATTTAGGTAACTTAACTAAAATAGATGAAGGTATCTAGAAATAATTAAATGGTTCATGCAAATTATATCATCTTCTCACTTATTTATACCGTGACTACAAACTTTAATACACTGTCAAAAAGAGAAGCCGCGAGAATAGCAAAATATATTGTTCATACTGGTAACGTTAAATGCATAGCACTTAGCAACAAAGAAATGGAAAGCATATATCAGATTGTCATGTATTAAGATCGTACAAAGTGGGATTCCTGTCTTGGGTGTGAAAGTTCGAACAATTTTCATAGAGATCTGAAAGACCATCCTTAGTAAATGATAATGGCAGCTTTAATTACTGACATAATAAAAAAAATATGAATTATTTACCTGATTTACTGAGAAGTAAATTAATAAAGTCAGAAAGTTGAAAACTCAAGCCAATGTGAGCTGATAGGACCTAAATTCAGGCCCCACTTCTTGGTCTGCCTTTACTGGATAAATCTGAACAGTGAGAACCAAAGAAAAATGATAATGAAGATAAAAAAAAACTTGCATGACATTGACTCCAATCGTCTCTTTTTTTTTTATGCAAATCTGGCTCATTCCGTTAATGATTTTAGCAAACATCACGGCGTAGTGGTTACAAGATCGATGGCGGCGTTTCCTTTGCGGTCGGATCAGTTGAAGAATGATACTTAAAGTCGAGTTTTCTCTTCAAAGAATCTAATTACCTGCGTTCTTAAGACTGAAATTAAAAAAAAATAGCTCCAAGTAATTAAGAACTGCTGCATTTTTAAAGCCTATGACTCGGTGCCGGACTTCAGTCGAATCGAAATGATCTGGCCCCGGTTGTTCGAAGATCGGATAACTCTATCCACTGGATAAATCTCTATCTGGTGGATAGTGCTTTACGTTTTACTATCACTTATCCGCTGGATAGCGATTTATCTGTTGGATAGCGTTATCCACCCTTTATACAACTGGGCCCTGGAAATTAATGGCAAAGTTCGATGTGCGCTTGTTTTGTAAAAAGGACTGTTATCATATTCCAACCATAGCTAGTGTACCTGATATTATATACAGAATCCCCTGATCTAGTCAGAACTAATGTAAGTTGATTCTTGTTCACATGTGGATCAAAGATGAATGTTGTTACAAGAGGGTCTCAATGGCGTGACAGCTTTTACAGCTTATGGTTAAAGTTTTTGCCATTTTACTGCCAACAGTTAGTCCGAAATGGCCTTGAAGATAGGAAAAGTTATTGACCGTCAACGTTTTTTTAAGACTAACAGTTAAAGTTTTTCCGGCAATTTTACGACCAACGGCGAAGTTATTTTGCTGTTGTACGGCTAATTGCAACGGCTCACCCGAGTGAGAATCTCTTATAACTTCACTCAGTAAGTACGTACACTGCAAGGACTGCTGAATTAAAAATCTTTTTTAAAATGAAATCTTCCCCCTCCATTTGAACCCAAAGATATAATAAATATTTTACTAAGATCGCAGTCCTTTCTACATTTTCCGCTCGGATTTATAACCCTAGCGCCTGGGCCATAAATCCGAGCGCAAAAAATCGGTCTATGACCTACTAGACGAACCTCAAGATCGGTTAGTCACAAATGTTTATTCACGCTTCTCCAGACGATTCTTCTGGAACTCGCAGTTCGGCCTCTGCCTCACTTACTGAAATATTAGACAGAATCAAGGGGTTGGAGGAGAATGTCACAAGTCTTCAGATACGTTTGGTGAGTAAATGTGAAATGAGGAGGTAACTTTTGAGTGCATGGATTCCTCAGTCCGTAATCGAAAAAATACGTACGCGGAGTAAAGTGAATAGTAAGAAAGATATTGAAATATAAAATCTTGCGCTGCGAGTTTTTGATCGCATTGTCACGCAACTCTCTGTACCAGATATATATTCAAGTAAGCAGTCGCCGAAATTCATTCCAGGAGACAAATTTCTTTTCTTCTTTTTAGGAAAAGGCATATATACAGGTTCCGTACCCAAGATTGTTCTACCTCAGTATCAATATACTGAGAGATAGATCATGCCATTTTTTCATAATAGCCATTAAAAAGTGGAAAAGAGGAGCCACAGTCATTCATTGTACCAGAATACACATAAGTAACTCAAACTCGTGCCTTTGAGTGCTCCATAGTTAGCGCTGAAATCGGTCGTTTTCAAGATTAATTTTCCTTAATAGTATTTTTTTTTTCATCTACAGGAAGAGAAAAACCAAGAGCTGATGGAAATTCGTCTATTATTGCCAAAA